AGTCCATGAATTCCACAGCTTTGTGTATTTGGGTATTCTTTCTTTTATAGTAGCTTCTATATAGTAGCTTCTATTTTCCCATGAATCATGGCTTGTGGTATTTTATTTTTGGTCTCTGTAAGACTGACTTCAAAGTCTTCCAGGCCTTTGCAACCCTTTGCTTAGCAGCAGTGGTAATCTGCGATATCATTTTATATTGCATCCTTGTGAGCTCTATGTGTTTTTGTTGGGAAGAGCTGGTTGGAGCAGGAAGAAGGATTTTCCCAAAAAGTGTCAACAGCAACCCAAACACTTACAGTGAGGAACAGAAGTATTTGAACACCCTGCGATTTTGCAAGTTCTCCCACTTAGAAATCATGGAGGGGTCTGAAATTCACATTGTAGGTGCATTCCCACTCTGAGAGACAGAATTAAAAAAGAAAATTCAGGAAATCACATTGTATGATTTTTAAAGAATTTATTTGTCTTGCACTGCTGAACATAAGTATTTGAACACCTAAGAAACAGCAAGAATTCTGGCTCTCAAAGACCTGTTACTGTGCCTTTAAAAAGTCCACCTCTACTGCACTCATTAATCTAACTTACTAGCACCTGTCTGAGCTCTTTAAAGACACCTGTCCACCCCACAGTCAGTCAGATGCCAACTACTACCATGGGCAAGACCAAAGAGCTGTCAAAAGACACCAGAGACAAAATTGTGGACCTCCACAAGGCTGGAAAGGGCTACGGGGCAATTACCAAGCAGCTTGGTGAAAATAGATCAACTGTTGGAGCAATTGTTAGAAAATGGAAGAGGCTAAAGACTGTCAATCTCTCCCTCGAACTGGGGCTCCATGCAAGATCTCACCTCGTGGGGTATTACTGATGATAAGAAAGGTGAGGAATCAGCCAGAACTACAAGGGAGGAGCTGGCCAATGACATGAAGAGAGCTGGGACCACAGTTTCAAAGGTCACTGTCGGTAGAACACTACGCCGTCATGGTGTCAAATCATGCATTGCACGGAAGGTTCCCCTGCTAAAGTCATCACATGTCCAGGCCCGTCTGAAGTTTGCCAATGACCATCTGGATGATCCAGAGGAGGCATGGGAGAAAGTCATGTGGTCAGATGAGACCAAAGTAGAACTTTTTGGTCTAAACTTCACTCGTCGTGTTTGGAGGAAAAAGAAGGATGATTTGCATCCCAAGAACATCATCCCTACTGTGAAGCATGGGGGTGGTAACATCATGCTTTGGGGGTGCTTTTCTGTGAAGGGGACAGGACGACTGCACTGTATTAAGGAGAGGATGAATGGGGCCATTTATTGTGACATTTTGAGAAAAATCTCTGTTCTAGGAAGGTGAAAGGATTCACTTAACATGGAGAACAATAAAAGACCGTTAGGGCCAGATAGGTGATAGAGACAGGTGAAGCCTAAGCTTAAACATCTGCATGTAGTGAAGGAAAGGCCCCTCAAGCCTGCAGACCCAGGCAGAGACTGCCATATACTTCTGAATGAGTGGATTTGCAGTTGTGTGTGGCTTGAGGGACCTCTCTTTCACTACATGCTGATGTTTCCGGCAGGCACTTTCAGCAGTTGGAGATTGATTGGGATCCTCTAGAAGCCTGAGCAGCACATATATTTGTGCGCATGGAAGCTCTGGCTGGGTAAAAGGATGGATGGTGAGTTAAGGATAGTAGTAGAGAAGATGTTGGGAGAGCAATTTGGATTAGTATTTTATGCAATCCCACAGCCGCAGGGAGTGAAGCTTGATGGAGCTAAAAATTGAAGCCCTCTCAATAGGTTAGAGCCATAATATACGAGGGATCTTCAAAAAGTTTCCACACTTCTATACATATATATATATGTTTTAAAAAGTGCAGAAACTGTTTAAAGAACCCTCATATTATCAATAGCAGGGGGGTTGCAGTCGACCGCTTCTAACCCAACCCACAACAGGACTTCTAGGTGGCATGTTATTTGGTCAACTGAGTTAACTGCACTGCTTGGAAGTATCTTGTTAAGTGTGGAAGGCCCAGGCTCCCTTGATGTCTAGACAAAAATAGGGTTGCTTTGGGTAATCTAGACCTAGTTGGCTTCCAAATGTAGGAGAGAAAGTGCCTTTGCATAATCCAGAGGTAGTGTGTGGGGATGGCTACAGGTATTACTCTAAAAAAGTATAGGATTTTGGGTAAAAGTGTAATTTTAAAAAGTGTAATTCTACCTAGCCAGATTGGCAGAGAGCAACATTGTACCATTAGGCTGGTGAGCTTTCTCTGCATAGAAGGGTAGTTGGCTTGGTACAGTGTTTTGTATGTTAGGTTGATGCTTGGGTAAGGCAAATGATGAGGCATCCAGCAGAATGAGAATGCTAACTGTAACTGTAGCCAGGTTGTCTGCCAGCTGTGTGCAGCTCTTTCACCCCCCCCCCCCCCCCACACACACACACACACTGTTATGCATAGACAGGCTCTATGCTTCTGTGCTGGCTCGGAGCTTCTGCTCTGGGGATCAGAGCAGCTGTGTGTTTTTCTCCTGGCAGTAGCGGTGCCAGAGCCTTGAGACACATGTAATCCCCAAGCAGTGTTGTGCTATAGAGAGAAATAGACTGTGAACTACAGCACCCAGAAAGCCCAGAACGTAGAGGAGGAGAGGACAGACTTTTTCCATGGCTTTTGGGTTACAAGTCAGGGCTTTTGCAGTGTGGGGAACAGAGAGTGCAGATCTGTTGGTGGGGTGTCTATGCTTACACCAAAGAGCCGGAGGACTGAGTCGCTGAAAGGCCTTTTGCTGTGCTGGGACTGGATCCAGAGGGACCTATTGCCATGTGTGTGCCTACAGCAAGTGAGAACCGGTGAGAGTCTGAGCACTGGGACTGAGCCTTGTGAGGATCTGATCGTGAGGGCTGAGCCACCGAGGATGGGATTCCTGAGGACAGTGGCCAAGCATTCTAGGCAAAATTCACTGTGTGCCAGAATTGGTGAGCGGAATATACTGTGTTTATCCCATCCCTGTTAGCAGCTTAATGCTCATAGAGAGAGCCCATTACTTACCAGCCCAACAGTCATTCACTGCATGCAGTTCTAAAGAGATAGTAACAAGTGCGCCATCATACAGACGGGCCCCAACGTTAGCAAGTTCAGAATTGTATATTTAGACACCAGGTATTAAATAACCACCTTACAGGGGTAATCCATTCAGGAACACTTAAGTATACCCATAACCAGGGGTATAATCAGATAGTGCACTCTGCGACACTTGGCTACAGAAAAATTTAAACCAATCGCACAACTTTTGACTAGTTACTGCTGAAAGTTACAATGAGGCCTTTCATTGTGCCATTTATACTCTTCACAGTTTATGCTGTTCTTCATACCAGTTTAACTTGGATTAGTTTTATTATGATCTAGGTTAATCTGCCATATTATAGACTAGTATTTAATTTAGTTAGTTTAACGCATTCAAACCTATTAAGATGCCTGTTTATTGCTTTGTTCATTTCACTTACCTGCCTTGCCACAACATATTCACTTTATCTACTGTCAAGTAGGTTTGGTTTATTTACTGTGTGCTAATATCGTATGGTATACCAACACTTATGTTACAACCAGGTGTGTCAGAACAGATGAAGAGTTGTAGCAGAACAGACAACCCATAATACCAAGTGGCTCCTTTGGGGCTAAAAGCTAAATAATGAATGGAGCACAGGTGTTCACTGAAATCTATTTTCTAACATCCTTACATACTGCCGATTCTATAGCTTAAGGATTTTACTGCCAGAGTTCCTGATGACCCTAAAGTGTAGGTGAGTAAACCCAAAACCTAAGATGTACTAAAATAGTAACTTACAGTAACTATGTGAGAATTATTCCTAGATAAATATGCAGCATGTCAAACATTTCTTATTTTGAGATTTTTTTTTTCCAAAAAATATTTTTATTAGAAGAAAGAAGGCATAACAGTGCATATACAGTTATGGAAGAGAATTTTTAAGTCCCATCAAGGCAAAATAATACTGAATCCTTTTAAAATTCAAGTTTTATTGATACTTTATGGCAGTATTAAAAGGAGAAATGATTCAGCACTCAAGTAGAACTTTTTTTAATGTTACCCAAATCTTCTAAACCAATTTATGTCCACTAACTCAAGTGAAAAATAAACGATAATTGCACACATTGCTTCATGCATTTTAAATTAATCTTGGCATGTAATGCAATGTTAACAGTCTACAAAATTCATTTTTAAAGTGGATTTAATGGTTTATTCTTAAAGGTTGCAGACTTCTGGCAGGTCATAACTCCTGGCACAAAAAAACATAACCTGTTGTTTAATTCTATTAGATATTTCATCAGCTAAAATTATTGTAATTGCACAGTACAAATGAAACTTTCCTATAACCAGATTATTCATAAAGGAAACATCTACAAAACCCATAAACTTCACCCGCATTCCTTTTTCTATAAAAAAACAACATACCTGCCTGCTGAAACATATACACACTTTCATTTTATTGTACTGTGTTCTCACTACTGCCCATGTGTTGTAGTGGAAAAACTGCCCTTTTGTTGCCTATGTATTATATTCTCTATTACTTCCTCCTTCCCATCAGGAATCAAGGAGTTCTAAACATTGCCATGAATGTCTGTGATAGCCTGACCACAAATACAAAGCAGTGCTGGCATTTAACCCTTTCACTGCTGGAGACTTTTTAAAATAATTTTTTTGCCCACAAGTAAATAGATAACAAATATGTAAAATCTTAAAATTGTGTACTCCTGTGAAATGGCAGTAAACTATGGAACCCAACATTGTCCAATGGTGGTGCTTTAAAGGACTTTACAGCTCATCGATTTAGAGTTAACAGTGAATGATGGTTTGATAATTATTGCTCTCATGTGTTACTGAACTCCTACCATTTTCCATCCTGACACCCTCAATGGAGATGCTGTGCAACCATGAGGGATAGGTGAGCCTGGGACACATGGCATGGGAATCAAGTCTGCGGGTGGGGGGTGCTGTGAGCAGGGGCGGACTGACCATTTGGAAACTCGGGCACTGCCCAAGGGCCCGGGGTCAGTAGGGGGCCCCATGGATGCCCCTGGTACCTTTTTCATAGGCTTTTTTGAGTTTGGGCAAAGGACACAGGGGCCCCATGATCCCCTATTGCCCGGGGGCCCCATGAGTTGTCAGTCCACCCCTGGCTGTGAGCCCACTCTTTCATTCAAAGGGGGCTGGGTTATCTATGCTTTGTAATTTACACAAATCCCAGGATTTTCTGCAAACCCATGGCAGTTGGAAACCTGAACTGCATGTATATTTGTTTATGTGCAATGTGTGATGTAGCAGAGGTAAAGAAAGTGATCTCAAAGAGCAGACACTGGCTAAAACTAGCCATGGTTAGCTCAGTTTTCTCTTGTTCAGTCTGCAGTCTGAACAAAAGAAAATCAAGTTGCTTCTTCCATCCAAACTGAATCGCCACTGATGACTTATGCATTCCACAGCTGTGGCACCTACAGCTGCCTGAATAGAGTGGCACTGATGAATTGATTCAGTTACTATACAGACAATAATTTTTCTCAGTGGATTTTTAAATTTACTTTTGTTGAGCTAAATGGTGCTTAAAAGTTGTGCATTTTTGAACTATCCGAGTTACTATCAGAACCAAAAGTGTTGCAAATGCTTCATGTATTTGGTGTAATATATTAACAAGAGGGATAAGAAAAGTGTTGCAGCTGCTTTATTGAATTCCCCTTTTCTGTACTAAAATTTACCTATATTGAGACAATCAAGACCTATCTATACAAAAGACCTCTGTTTTATAGACCTTTTTTTAAAAAAAAAACAAAAACAAACATTCACATTTTTCATTTTAGTGTACTGTTTTAATAATAACTTGCCTATCTTTTTGTTTTAAGCTGATGATACACTATATTGCCAAAAGTATTGGGACGCCTGCCTTTACACACCCTCCCAGTCTTAGTCCGTAGGGTTCAATATTGAGTTGGCCCACCCTTTGCAGCTATAACAGTTTCAACTGTTCTGGGAAGGCTGCCCACAAGGTTTAGGAGTGTGTCTATGAGAATGTTTGACCATTCTTCCAGAAGCACATTTGTGATGTCAGGAACTGATGTCAGATGAGAAGGCCTGGCTCGAAGTCTCTGCTCTAATTAATCCCGGTGTGTAGTCATGCTGGAACAGGAAGTGGCCATCCCAGGGGCGGACTGAAAACTCATGGGGTCCCCGGGCAATAGGGGATCATGGGGCCCCTGTGTCCTTGCCCAAACTCAAAAAAGCCTATGAAAAAGGTACCAGGGGCATCCAATGGGGCCCCCTACTGACCCCAGGCCCTCGGGCAGTGCCCGGGTTTCCAAATGGTCAGTCCGCCCCTGGGCCATCCCCATACTGTGCCCACAAAGTTGGGAGCATGAAATTGTCCAAAATTTCTTGGTATGCTGACACCTTAAGAGCTCCCTTTTCTGGAACTAAGGGGCAAAGCCCAACCCCATGAAAAACAACCCCACACCATAATCCCCCCTCCACCACACTTTAAATTTGGTACAATGCAGACAGGCAAGTATCGTTCTCCTAGTAACTGCCAAACCCAAACACATCGATCGGATTGCCAGAAAGAGAAGTGTGATTCATCACTCCAGAGAACACGTCTTCACTGCTCTAGAGTCCAGTGGTGGCGTACTTTACACCATTGCATCCGACGCTTTGCATTGCACTTGGTGATGTAAGGCTTGGATGCAGCTGCTAGTCCATGGAAACCCATTCCATGAAGCTCTCTATGCACTATTGTTGTGCAACTCTGAAGGCCACACGAAGTTTGGAGGTCTTTAGCTATTGACTCTGCAGACAGTTGGAGACTTATGCGCACTGTGTGCTTCAGCATACGCTGACCCCGCTCTATCATTTTATGTGGCCTATCAATTCGTGGCTGAGTTGCTGTTGTTCTAAGTTGCTTTCACTTTGTTGTAATATCACTAACAGCTGACTGTGGAATATTTAGTAGTAAGGAAATTTCACGGATGGACTTATTGCACAGGTGGCAACCTATCACAGTCCAATGCTTGAATACACTGAGCTTCAAAGAGCAACTCATTCTTTCACAAATGTTTGTAGAAGCAGTCTGCATGCCTAGGTGCTTGATTTTATACAAGTGTGGCCATGGAGGTGATTGGAACGCCTGGATTCAATGATTTGGAGGGGTGTCTCAATACTTTTGGAAATACAGTGTATGACAACCACATAAACAGAATCTACACTGACTGGTTCCCAGTTTTTCATGTAGAAATTTTTTTGTGTAAAAAAATATTTAGTTTACAATAAATAATTTTTTATAAATGTTTTTAAACGTTTTTTATTTCTTTTCTCAAAGCATTGTTACAGCTGCAGCTTGTGTGAGGCACAGCTGTCACAATGCAATGCAATGCATGAGACAGTGACAGTTGAAGCGTATAGATTTTTTTTTTTTTGTAAACAAGCCCATGGGACCCCCATGATTGGCTATCATGGAGATAATATGATCAGAGACCCCTATTCACAAATGTGCCTTTATTTGTGTTTTAGGTGCAGTGCATTATTGGTGCAGTGCATTGAAAAAAAAAGTCCTTCATGCTGCATCTTTGATGTGCTTTCATCAAAAGCATGTTCTATAGAGTTCAATGGGAATGCACATAAAATTCTCGCAAAATGCACTTAAAACGCATTGCACAGATGTTAACCAGACCCTAGAATGATAGTTTTACAATAGAACAGATCAAAATTCTGTCTTTGGTCTTGATTAATGTTAAGCTACTCATTATGGTCGAGAACAAATTATGCTACAGTATTGTTTGAGAAAAAACCTTAGGTTTTATTGTTCTAAATACGAATCTGGTTACAATATCTGGCAATATAAAGGCTTTCCCACAACAGACTCCTGAGACTGCTCATTATTTTTGGGATTAAAATTAGACACTGTTTGTATGAGGTTATTGTTGAACAATTGTTGTTTAGTATAGGTATTTACATAGCGCATCAATGTCTGCACCTCTATACATATATATTGTACATTCACATCAGTCTCTGCCCTCAAGGAGTTAAAATCTAAGATCCCAAACTCACATTCATACATATGTAGCACTACCCCCTTAGGAGTTGCTGAATTGATTTTGGGTTCCCTGTGGATCTGGACCCCACTCTAAAAGCCCAGCTCCTGCTGACACCACAGTCTTAACTGAAATAAATCACCACCAGAAAGTGAATTCACACACAGGTTGAAGTAAACTCAGTAAGAGGTTTATAACGATCTTCAATATGGCTTGGTTACACAGTATAAATATAATTGAAATGTATAAAATTATTTGTTACTTGTGTCACTTAGAATTTAAGGAAAAGACAACACTTATCACAAAATCTCGATTAGTATTAACAGGCCTGATTTTCAGAAACTAACCCAATACTTTCAGCCGGAGGTGGTCTTACAGTCCCCAGTGAGCAGCTAGGACTATCAAATAGGTAGACTAGCTCACGTTGGGCCCTCAGGACCTGATGGCAATGAGATAGCCTGAAATGTGGAAAAGAGCTCTTTACCCCCCAAAAAACAATATTCTTTAAAGGCAATGAAGAGTCTTCTGCGTGCCTGATGGGGCCCAGTTGGTGCACAGTAAAGAGAAGGGTGGACTGTAATTCTCTGAGGAACAGTGTAATAAAGAGAGGGAAGAATAACACTCCCCTTATCAGCAGCAATTTTACAGATGTAATGTTCCTTTAAGGCATTAGTCACCAGTGAATCTAAAGTAACAAGTGGCCAATCTGGTAAAAGTGATTTTTTGCACAGGGTAACTCGTCTTTGGACTACAAGACTTTTGGCACAATAGGAAAAGGCCTCCTTAGCAGAGTGAATGGATTATGATGGTGACTTCAGCGGTGGTTCAGCCTGTGGACTGACTGCATTGCTATCAGTTGTGATGATAAGGCTGTGCTAAGTGTAGTCAGACAATGGCAGCTAAAGGAACTAGGCCGCAACTTCGAATAACTATGTGCAATGTCCGTGACCTGTGTGCAGGAAAATAGCAAAGGCAGAGCAGGTGTCAATGCTCTAATCGTTGACCCGAGTGATGGTGTCTGGTGAATCTTGGCAGTCTCTCTCTCTCTTTTGATAAGGCCTCCGCACACTCTCCGGTCCCGCCTGCAGCATTCCTTCCGGTAACCAGCTAGCAGATTAACTTTCTCCACGATGTGGTAAGGTCAACGATCAGCAGAATCTCCTTGCCTCCTCTCTTTCTCTCTTTACACTGCTTGGTCTGGTTCTCCCACAGTCAGTGCACTCCTCTCTCCAGATTTCTACCCTCTCACTTCCTGCCTCATTTCCCGGGCTTTCACATATATATGCCCTCTGCCCACACACCAGCTCCTCAGGGAAATGTAGTTCTTTACTACACTGTTCCTTGGCAAAGTCCTGCGATTCAGCATACAAGTTCCATGGGGCTGCTCTACAAAGTGTGAATGCCACTGTTCTGCAGGACACCGCCATCTTGTGTTTGTTTTAATATCCTGCATCCTATTAGCAGGGTGTTACACATACTAGGGTCAATTTAGACAGGAGCCAATTAACCTGCTAGCATTTCTTTGGAGTGTGGAAGGAAACCCACACAGGCATAGGCAGAACATGCAAACTCCAGGCAGGCAGTGCCATGGTTGGGATTAAATCTGATGACCCTAGTGCTGCCAGATGGAAGTGATAACCACTTAGCCAATTTACTGTCCAATCAATGTTACTGCTACAAAAGATACACATTTTGTGTGGCAAACCCCCTGCCGTTCATGGACCCAGTGATTTAATGCAGGATTATATTGCCACAGTAATGAAGTAGCCATAATGCACTGCCTGGCCTTTTAACTTGGATCAGGTGGCTTGGAAGGGCCAATAAGAGATATTTTAGATAAGTCATCCCCTCACTATAAAAGATTGTGTTCCCAGTAGCCATTTAGAAATGTGCATTAGATGTGATAGGGAAAGCAAGGGAAGTTCTGCTGATAAAGTTCCTTCACTAGTGTGGGGCTTGTAGGTAATGTTTTCCTAAAGTCGATGAGGCGGAGGCAAGGATTTTTATTTTTTTAATAGCTGGTAATTTAAGGTAACTTTCCAATTGTTTACAAGAAAACAATATACAAAAAGCATTTCAACCATGGTAGATAAATGCAAAGTAAATATGC